CGAAAACCAATGCGAACGTTGGTCTACGTTCGTTCACGTTCGTATGCACGAGCGATATCCCGTGAGAAAGGATGAAAAATGCATACGTAGCTGCATTTGTTTCGTTGTTGAAAGAGAATCGACGAAATGCGGAATAATTCAACGTTTGCGCTATCAACGTGTTCAAAAGTTTGGACAAAAGTGTATCCCTTTTGTTGCTTGAAAACGGAAAGAAGAATTTTGATTGATGATCCAAGCCGCGCATCCATCATTCTCATCTCGTTATGTCGGTCTTGTGTAACTGCAATCATTCTCTCTAACTATATATTGCTCGGCTACTTTCGGTTCTATTTCGTTTCCCGCAGTTCCAAGCTGACTTTGTTGCTTCTTCTATTTTATATACTCTAGCGATCAAGCGTGTTGCATGCCTCGGTTACAGTCCCAATATTTCTAATTTACATGGAACTTATTTCTTGAAATTTATATGCCCTCTCTGAGGTTCCAACGGAACGTGAAACGAAAAAACGAAATATCGAAATCTGGAATGAAAGGATTAATGATTAAATATATCCCGTCTCATATATGTCCTATGAATTTAAGATTTCAATGAAAACTTAAGATTAGATAGTTAAGATAGTTAAGATTTTTTTTTTTTATTTTAATATTTAATTGGGGAGGATTGTTAAATTTAACAAACTTTGATTAATAAAAAACTTTAATGAGAGAAAAATTTTTGATCTTTAATTTATAAATTATATTAGAATAAATTACAGTTGGGGATATATAACAGCGTCTTTCTTTATAGATCACATAGAAGGGAAATGATTGATGTTGACCTCGATGTTCAATTAAGATAGATTTTAAATTGTTAACGATCCTCGCCAAATCTGCCTCTCTATTACCAGATCTCCCATGCAAGGGGACGTAATCCACATTTCGCGAAACGGTTTCGTAGAACAGTCACGAGCGCAAACTTGTTGCTTGATTAATAGAAACTACATAGCAGTTGCATCAAGTCGCGTTAGAAAGTAACGGCTAATTAAATCTTCGCGATTGTTCTTCATGATTTGCTGTGAGGCTGAGTGAGTGAGTGAGTGAGTGAGTCTGTTAGTTGCAGTACCGCTACAAGGATCCAGCCTACGCTTTAATTCTAGTTGTTCCACCTTCTAGTAGTCCCTTACCTTCGCGAGTACGTTCTCATTTTCACGTTCGAGGCTCTTGGTATGTTTTTTTTTTTTCTCTCTCTTCGAACTTTTATGTCTCAATTCCACACGTTAAGATAACAAGATGAAAGATTGAAAAAAAAGAAAAGAAAAGGAGAATTCTAAGGCTGGTTAATGAGAACGGGAAAATACTTGATCATCATATATAAATATTTCTCTTGTCTATTCTGTCGTCCGGAAGAAGTTAAATTTTTTTTCCCTTCGTGTACAATAGTTCAAAGTGAATTACCAAGTAATTTACTATTCGATACTGGGATAAGCGCGCGTTTTATCAAAAAGAGATTCAAAGGGAAGAGGCGTCGCTTGAAAAACAAGCGAAATCGAAGTAGTAGAAGAGAAGAAGTAGGACGGCAGCTTGCCATTCCCAAATATAACTTTTAAAGTGGTGGCGTCTTTGAAGCGGTTGTTACGCTCCATTCGACGAGGTTTCAAGCATTCTCCAGTGTACAGTGGGCAAACAACTCTTTGAAGTAGCGTGCTGAAACTAGATTTAGACGATCGTAAATTCGAAAGGCTGTAATTATTTGCTTGTATCTCGAAATACTAAATTTCGATCGAAATCAATTCGACGTCGTTAAAAGGAGGAACTCGATGTTATAAATTGAAAGAACCTTAACAAGTTGTTCAATGTGCTTAACCCTTTCGTTACCGGCCGATTTTTCGGCGCGCTACTCCCACTGAACGAGCCGGAAGTGAGTGTACACTTGCGGAAGATCTGCAATATCGCCTGTAGAAAGGAAAAAGTGAAAAAACGTATTATCACATAATACAATTAGAAAATATAATTTAATAATGTAATTTCGTATG